TGGTTCTACTTCAGTGCTTTTCCCTGGAACATATCCAGGTGCACGGTAACATTAAAACACCGTACAGGTCACCATGGACTCCTAGTGCCTTGCAATGTCTTCAAAAGACTTCACAAGGCACAAAGGAGACAGTAAAGAAGGGATTTACAGACCTGTTACAAGAGACCAAGAAATCCACAAAACGAGTAGCTGGACAAGTCCCACACAGTTGCTGCACAGGGATGTTTAAATGTGTCTGTATAGGGGCTCACAGACATGAAGCCTGTACAGCAACTGTTCCACCTTCTTAGTCGAAGCGATTCAGAAAGGTTATGTGGTATAACCTTTAAGCCTTCCCATATATTCCATAGGAGGGATTATGTTATTTCTTCTGTACATAGGGTTAGAGCCCACTCAAGAAAAGGTAATTCTAATATACTCAAAACTGTAATAAAATACAACTGAAGAGTGCTACTCAGAATTTAAAGTTTTAGCAATAATCTCTAGCATATTCCTAGAAATAAAAGCATGAAAGATTTCTTTAAAAAAAGCATCAGAAATGCTAAGAGCTCACTTTTCCCATAAGAACACAGGTTCACTTCAAAAAGTTATAAATTCACAAGGAATTCACTAGTGCATTTCCAAGATGGCAGTTTTAAGATTTCTCTACACACAAGGAGAGCAGGTTCAACCCATGCCCCCAGTTACCATACTGCTTTGCTCAGAAATATTTCTGAGCAATCTGGGAGATTAATAAATAATACATCAGAAGTCACTAACAAAAATATGCCCTTCAGACACACCTGTGAATGCTGAAACTCCTGTTTAGGCTACTTTAATTTGTTCCTATGGGAAGAATTCAAGTGCCACAAGCACATTTGCAGTACAGATGGAATGAGGAGGTTTTTCCTTCAGAAAAGATTTCTGAAGCCTGATACAGGAGATTATAAAAAAATCAAAGGATTATTCAGGAAGGAAAACTAGAGGAAGGACATAAAAGGAGGGAATCAATTTCAGTTTAAACAGTTTTTTCTAGGTGTTCAATGGTTTGTTGTACAAAACAGCCAGCCATTTATCTAAAAACAGGTACACAGCAGAACTGAAACCTCTGCAAAGTAGTAATTCAAAACTTAACAGTCCAAACACTAATAATGGTAAATATTCTATGCATAGGTTCAAAACTTTAGCTACAGGAGAAAACACCCAGTTCTATACACAAAGGTTCTCTCAATAGTGAAGCTGCATATCCAGCTGTATTGGGTCTGAAGGTAGCAATTCCCTTACCCTGATTTCTGTGTCTTTGTGAAGATTAAGAATGAGAATTGGACTGCATGAAGAGTGAGGACAAACAGAAGAGATTCATTTCTTAAAGTTCCCAACAATTGTGGCTGCTAAAAGAATGGTAAATAAATTTATCAGCAGCTCTAGCATCAAATACTTCTATTGGTTTTGAAATTTGACTGTCAGTTGACTCACAAAAACAATGTTATGTTGCATGTCTTTAGTCAAATCTGAAATTAAATTGCTTTAAACCATACATCCTCTCAAAAAGTTCTAAAATTAAGCCACTATGAGAGGAAAAAAACTTTAGACTAAATAGATGCATTTTGGCTCAGAAAAGTGATTACATAAAACTGTCATATTATTCATAAAATCAAGAAGACTACACCACAGACTTGGGGAAGGCAAAGAGGTGTTTAAAACAGACAGTGCAGCATGACTCATCCACTAGCGATTAAATCAAACACTGTACTTCGAAAAGAAGGTAGAACTGCATAATAATTAGGCAGAAAACTATGGAAAAATACCTCAACAAAAAGTTCTAAGCAAAACAAAAATAAGCAAGCAGAAAAAAGCAAATTCTAGAAGTCTTAAAAACAAAAGAGGATAGATGAAGTGAAATGTCTGATTTTACAGGCAATAGCAACCTCACAAAATCAGTAAAAAGACAGCCAGGGATCAGTGCAACATCTGATTAAAAGAGGGTAACAGAAGGGGTTGTACAGATAAAGGACGTGTGTCATGCGTTACAGAAAGCTTCAAGTCAAATAAACTAGGAATGACAACCAAGGAATGCTAGTAACTGAATGCTAACCTGTTGTAAATCATCAGCGCATTAGAGCTATATTCCCAGTATGAGTGGGACAGCACAGAGGCTTCCAAAGATAAAAAACAGTAATTATGAGAAATTGCAGTTACTCTGTAGGTTGGATAAGTGTCAAGAAGGGAAGTGATGCAGTGGATTAATTATTTAGTTATCACAAGCAACTGTTCTCTTGGAGCAAATGGCCAAAGTAGTCACAAAAGGAAAAACACCTCTTGATTTAGTCTTACTTGTAGTACCTACTTTAGAGAGGTAGCTCATGAAAAACATTCTACAACAGCAGCATCAGAGCACTCAAATTCTATATTCTTGTAAACAAATAAAAAAAAGCCAACAAAAAAAAAACAAAAAAAAAAACAAACAAACAAAAAAAAACCACCAATTCTTGTAAACAAATAAAAAAAAAAAGCCAACAAAAAAACCCCAAAAAAAAACCACACACAAAAAACCCCAAACCTACAGCCAGGAAAAAATCCACCACTATTTAATTTCAGCTAGGGGAGCTACGCAACAATGATGATGCTATCAAAAGATCATTAAAAGCAGCATCTAAAAGGGCAGAATGCAAGCATCATGATAACTTTTAAAGATGTTAAAAAAGAACATGACATCATTGGAGACATTAAAAAAAAAATCCTGGAACAGTTCTATAAAGCAAAAATGGCTATTTGAAGTCAAAAGCAAACTTCAGAATCAGAAAGTGTGTCCACAAGGAGGAACAGTAAATACTCTATAAATATAGTTAAGATTCTTGCCACCTACACAGAATTTTGAGGAGTATCTTGCTGGGGGAATCAGTATTTATTTCAAACACATCAAAAAACAGAGGAAGCCTGACAGAAAGCTGATAAGGATGACAGATTATTTGCTTTTTGCTGTGGCCTGATCTTCCTAGCATTTTCTTTTTGCATCTTAAGCTATCTCTGCATCTCTGTTTACTACAGAGAACAGTGGGAAAGTTTCCACACAGGAGTTTTATTCTGTGGAGAAGAGAGCTCGAGGAGCTGCCTCAGACTGAAGCAATTTTTTGAAAGAAAGAATAAAATTGGCATTTTGTGGTTCCTGCTCTTTGTTACTATTCACCCAGGAGTTCTAAAGGAATTCAGATATTAAAAAGTCAGACACTATATGGTATGTAAACTACTGTTGAAGTAAATTTTGGTTTTAAACATTCTAGGAGGATTCAAGAGACTGTAGATAAATCTATACCAAGTAGATAGGGAAAATTCACAATAAAAAGAATTATCAGGCACATTAGTAATTCAAGTATCATACAGAAAAGTTAAAACAGCATTTGCAGAGGATTATAATGTTTCCCTGATCAAAATTATTTAAAAGAACAGGAAAGTAGATAAGGAATGATCTGCTTGAGAGAACATATCTGAGTTTCCTAACAACTTTTGAGGTCTTCACAAAGGTTATTTAAATTAAAAATAAATAAATAAATAATAAAGTAAAAACAACCAAAAAATCCTGAGCTGTTCTAGGATAAACCACAGTCCTGGGTAATAAGTGATGTTTTGCAATCTACTTACTCTTGCTGTTACTTGTGCAAAAATATAAACATTAACATTCAATGATTTCTGTCCGTGCTATCAAGAATGCTCCTGCAATCCTGCACACACAGGAATAAAGACTTGCAATTATGCATTTTATATTCATCAGGCTAGTCAAAGTAACTGCATGTTGGGGTTCAAGAACAAACTTGATCTTCTCTTTCTTCGTCCTTCTCCCCATGTTAGGTTTTGCTTAAAATCACTACCTCACCTCACTGTTATAACAAGGATACTAGGAAAAAACCATTCAACTCTCTCCCTAGTATCTTTGCCAGTTTCCTTTGGAAGATGTGTAAAGACACGAATGCCATGAATGATTCACTAAAGGAGGAAGAGCCACCCAGATTCCTTAAGTACAAACATTTCTGATGACTAAAATGTTAAAGGCTTTTATCAATTAATCAACTGTTTAGCAGTGAGATTGCTACAAAACTCAGACTCAAAGAAGCAACACTCACTCTGCATGTAGCATGCAGGTACGTGCCACATACCTAGTAATTATCCCATAATTCATGAATGATTTTACCACTAATGCCACGTGACCAGGTTCTGAAAGTGAGCACTATGTAAAACACTGTTAAAAATAACACAAATTAAAACTGGGACCTTGTTTACTTCTAAACATTATTTTCCTGTAACAGTACTTGAAGAAGAAGTGAAGGCAAAGGATGCAATTTGACAACGACCTCAGGAAAAGAGACATTTGCAATCTTTTAGAAATTGACTTACTGCTTCCTTGAGAAATTTAGTGCCAAGTAGCACTGCAACAAAGAAAGCCGAACTGTCCAAAGAGAGCAAGCTGTTAGCTGTGCTCACAACCATGTTCTGGATGCACAACCAAGTGCAGCTAAAGACGGGGAATAAAGGAGCACGAAGGGACAAAAATAAACAGAAAAGCCTCCTCATGGTAACACTTTCTGGTTTTGTTTATCTTAACATTTTCTGTCCTTACTACTTTGGTGTCTTCCACACCTTTGCAGCCTTTGGACTTTCAATGTACACGTGTTGCTACGTCTATCAGTTACTCCCCACTTTAGTCCAGTTCAAACCTGCAGTTACTTTCATACAGCCATCTCAATTGTATGGGTCAAGACAGGTTTTTTTAAGAGGAATTAAGTGATTACTTGGTATCTTTTAAATGGCTGAAGCAATTATCTGGACATACATTTTAGGCTTACTGTAATGAGGAAAGAATGAACTCTTCTGTCACTGTGCCAACAGCCCTCCAAGCCTACTTTCACCTAGAACACCTAGCATAACCCCCCCAGTCATCTATAGTTAACACGACAGAGATACAGAAAATAGAAAACAGTTTGTAGTTTGGATTATAAATGGCAAATGCTTGGCATTCAACGCATTACCTTGCCTGTGCTTTGTAAGATTGTAGTTCTTGTCCTCCATACTCTCTCCCTGCTGACAATATCTCTGGTTACATCCACTTCAGCATCAACAAAACTTCTCTGTTTAAGAGCAGTTATGTCATCATCCAGATCAGTTTTGATAGTGGATCTTTTCTTTGCCATGATTTTTGCTTTGATAGCAGCAATTTTTTCCACTGACATGGCTTCAGACAAGGACCTAAATGAGCAAAAATAACAGGAAAAACTGAATGATTGCACAAACAACTCTTCTGAAAGAATTAGTGGACGAGTAACTGCATCCTGTCTAAAGTTTATGTGTATGCTATAAATCATAAAATAGCCACATATACTTAAGGATTACATGAACTTGGCATTGCTGTGTTGGGAATGAGAATCAAACTTCTGACAAAAGACTCCACCCCAGCATTCACACAAAAACAATCCAAAAAATCCCTACTATAACGAGCAGAAGTAAAGACTGCAAACCTAAAGCAGCAAGACTAGCACTTCCATTTAAAATGTCATCTGAATTTCAGCTCCCTGTTATTTTTAGTGGATTACAATTTTGTGTCCAGCCAATCAATCCCCAGCTGCTCTGAGGCTTTCAAAGCATTAATCTAGATTTTGGCTGAGGTGCTCTTACATGGACTTGGCCACTTGGAAGATGTGTTACCTTTTCAGAGTATGTGGGCCAAGCAAACAACAGATGGCAGTAACTTTGTCCACATTAATCTGTGTTTGAGGTAGCTCAGTTCAGGCCAAGAGTGCAACATCTTTATCTGTTTGCTTTTAATTGTAAACACAGAATTTGGTTGCCAAACAGTGAGCCTTATTGTTTGGCAAGTAAGCTGAAGGAAAAAAAAGGACTGAACTGCACAATCCTAACTTACCCACTTACATTTTAGGTCTTTTTTTTTTTTTGAGATTACATTGAAAAATAAATACAAGTAGTACTGGTTATGAAGTATTCTCCTTTTACAACTAAGTTATTGGAAAGGAAACTTTTTTGTGCCGCTCTAAACAAAGTAACGACAGTGACAAGCACGGAGTTCAAACTCACTGCCTGTAAATGTTATTTGTGTTTTTAAAAAAGAAGCAGTCTTTTACACTCAGCATTAAAAAAAAAAATCTGTAAATACAGAATACAAAGTAATTATGAATAATACTCTAACTCTCACTGCAGCATTGTCTCACAACTCCAAAACAAACTAATATCCAGATTATTAGTTTATACAAAACAATGCGTGTAGTTTTTGATTTTTTAATCTTTAGACATTCTGATTTTAAGTCAGGTATGAAAACCAGATTTTATTTTTTTCCCCCCTATATTTTCCTTTTAAGTACACCTATACAAGAGACACAGAGGAAGAAGAATTTAAAAATATGTATTTTTCATGGGGTTAGGTGTAATTATGGATTCTAGGAATGCCCCAACTTTGCTATATTAATTGTTGCAAGGATAACTGTTAAATTTAATCCCAGTAAAGGACAGACAAGTATTCATAGTACTGTTCATGCTCAAGACATAATTTTATCATGAATGCAGTTGGCCTATTAAGTGAATCTACTAGACTGCAAAATCCAATGTAGACAAAGCAATACATTAATTCATACTCATACACCTTAACTGTAGGAAGCATGGCTTCCATTTTACATCATGGTAGCTGACACACTAAAGAAATTAAGCAACTACCTTTACCTTAAGACTTCTGAACTCAGGTATTTGAAAATTAACTACTAAAGTCTGGTATCCTACTAAGCCCAAGATATTTAGCATCAACAAGATCTTGCAAGAATTTGATTTCCTCTCTGCTTTGCTTTAAGAAGATATGGTGTAAGACTCAAAACCAGCTGTCATTCTTTGCAAAATTCCGGATGGATACAACAGAAGAGGAAAGGTGATGGAAAAGCTTTTAAGCACTTGAATACCGATTACTACTTATGGCAATGACAGTGCATCATCCTCTGGTAGCCTACTGCCTTTTCAGAAGCAAGAAGCTCACCTCTGTAGGGAGGCAAGCAGCGGTTATATTACCCTTTGATCTATTCTCATGTCTTCCTCTTTTGCATGCAAGACAATCCTCAATACAGGATATTTTTTCTTCAAATTAGAGAGATAATCAGTTTCCCCATGCAGTTCTGCTGATTCTATTCAACTGCTTAGATAAACACCATAGCAAAAGAAAGTAGAAATGGCAGACTTGGTGGGAGGAAGACGTGAATGTGTGCTCACCTTTCAAGACAAACCGAACCTCATGCCTTGACATCTGAACTACCACTCAAGAACTGGAGTCTGACCTGGCATGAAGTTCTGCCTCCTCAAGCATTACTGATGACAGCACCTCAGGGAGGGAGACCCCCTGTGAGCTGTCAGACAGAAGTAAAACTGGCTGCCTTGAATAGCACAAGAATTGTTATCAGTCCATTAATTAAGCATTATCCATAAGAAAAAGCACTCCTACCTGATCTGCTCCGTTTGCACGATTCCTTCTTTATGTCCTTCCAACCGCGCTGCCAACCGCTCCTTGTCGAGGCGCACACACTCTTCATCCTAAGAGTTAACAATAATGTTTAATTGCAACGTTTAATTTTTTGTGCATTCTATTTAAAAAAAAAAAAAAATACAACTTGAATTAAAGCTATTCAGAATTTTTTTTTTTACATTTGCAAGGACAATCTTTATTTCTAATTATTTTTGATCTATGCACTACCATTAACTGAACAGCTATTGAAAATTTCCTCTCAAAAACCAGAAAGTATAATTAGAATAATGAAAACGAAACTACCATTCCCTCATAAAGAGCTTTGCTCAGACAACAATTGAGTACAAAAGAAAAATCAGTCAGAGAACTTAAGGCTGGCAAACAATGCACACATTCAGGCAGGTCAATACATATACACACATACATATTTAAGGTGAATTTATCAGACACGCAGATTTGACCAGATATTTAATCAGTGACATTTTTAAAGAAGAGAACTGCTCACAACTCTTATAACTCAATGCAGAACTTTTATAAATGGCATTCCTAGTTAATATAAAAAACAAGTCAAGCGTAAGGAAGCCTCTAGTTACTCAAGCCAGGTTTGAGACAGACATGTAATTTGAGAAAGTAGTAAAGAGATGTAACGTTACACCATCTTTTCAGCTTCTTAATCCTTGTACCACTTGTGTTCAATCTGTCTTATTTCTCCACAAAACTTAAATCAGCATCTATGCTCTCCTATTGCTAAAAGACTGTTTGGAAAGGCTGAAGCACAGCAAAACCAGTCATGCTCAGGTATCAGGAGAAACCTGGAATCTCCACTCCGAGATGATCTACGAACTCAAAACAGAATTTACAGACCCCGAGCTGTCAGAACAGTAAGGAAACAAAGAGAAGATGGCCATGAGATCATTAGGCTCATATGCAAAATTCTTGATTCTCCAAATTATGATGGTGAAGATCTACAGTTTCAAAACGTACTGGCATCACAACCACATAGGGTTGTTCTACGCAAAGTAGAACAAAAATCTATAGATCACCAAGAGATTATCCCGCAGCAATCATCTGCTCGTGTGCCGTTAATAACGCATAAAGTTTTTATGGTTCTTATGCAGTTATAGCTAAGCACGAACAATGCTCAAATCCTATTCTTGAATAAGGTAACTGATGTATTTTGATAACTCTTCTTCTCAGAAGAAGTCTAATGCCTGAGTACTCTGAAAATATATACAGCCAGTTTTATAATAACTCACAGAGGAGACAACTGGGTGAACACAGTTAAAAAAAAACCTCAAGGAAAAGAGTAAGACAGTTTTTAAAACCAGGCAGAGTTAGGTAATACAATGTGTGTAATAACTCGACACATTGCTTCTATTCAAGAGGTACTTGTGAAAATACACTGTTAAATTAATTACCTAAGAGACAGCTTCACAAAATAGTAATCACAGGGACAGTTTCATATACTGCTATAGAGACTAAATTAGCAGGTAAAACAATTAAGTATCCATTGATAGAGCTAAGAGTGGCATTTAAGTTATAGTGCCAGCTCATGGATGGCAAATAATCATAACTGGTCATTAAAAAGCACTTTTATTCCAATCCCATAGCTCTTAGCAGACCGGTGATAACGCAACAGGCGCTTACAGATAAGAGGTCAAGCTTTCCCTTTTTATACTACAACATACATCTAGTAACTAAAACTCCAAGTTTAAATCAGAGGCCTAAATTCTAACTCCTTTGAGTTCATGTTCACATAACAGAAGTACTGTGTGCATCCAGAGGATAAATATCCCAACTGAATTGCTGCAAAACAAGATAAGTACTGTAATTTACCAACACTCCCAATTTGTATTGATGACAGGTACTGATATTACCTCTATTCTTGGTTTCTTTGCTTCTGCTAATACTTCATCTGCTGCTCTTTTAACTGCAAGAAAAAGAGGACATTAAAAATGCAAGATTGCAGTAGGCTTTCCTAAAATAAACCTCAAAGTTATTTTTTCAGTTAAACTGTACCTTGAGTGGACCGTTGAAGACCAATCTCAAGAGGAGCACTTCTGTCTATACTGGATGAGGTTGCTGTAATCAAACACAACATTTAGTTTAAGTACAAAAGATTCGCAAAAGTATTTAAGCATAAAAGGAAGAAGGACAACAGATAAATTGCAACAACAGAAATTCTAACTAGATATTAGGTAGCGAAGGCAGTCAAACCCTGGAAGTGGAGATATTCAGAACGTGATTGAATAGTAAGTTAGATCAGATTGCTCAGGGTTATTTGGCCCTTCTTTGAAAGTTGGATTGAACCAAATGGCCTCCTGTGGTCCCTTCTAACATAAATTAGTTGGTGATTCTATGATCTGTATACACCACATAAAAGAAAAGAGTCACAAAGATAATTACTTTATAACCTGGAATCAAGATCTACCAGGTTGTCTCATTTTTTGAATAAAGAAAACCCGCTGGTCCCTTTAAAATATATTTTAAAAAATATATTTACTGCTCACATTACAGAAATAATCTCATATTCCTGTATACTTAACATTCTAAGACCACCTACAAAACAGAGCAACTTGCAAAAGTAAGCCATATTTATCTTGCTCTCAGATAAACCTCTTTTCTCTGACTACTGTTAATAAAAATTTTAAGATGATGGAATACCAGGCAAATCTGCCAGACTGAAAAAGCAGTGATCTGATATTTCACTATATTTAAGATTTTATCCCAGACACTTGTTGCATCAAAATCAATGCACTACTGAAAGTTTCCCACAGTCTAGAAAAGTAAAAAATATAAATGCTAAGCATTCTAACACATAACTATTAGCCACAGGATGTTAATAATAATAATAAAGTAGCTCACTTCTAAACATGGATGTAGGAATGCAGCTCCTATCTAAGTGCCATTAGAAAGTGCCATATGTTCAGAACAAAATTTAAAAATAAAAGAAATCCTAACTTTGTTTGAGAAGTTAGAACATAACCAGTTAAGCTGCAAACTGACCATCATTAAACATCCTCCCCCTCCTACCCCTCACTCATCCCATAAATACGAAGCAGTAAAGTGCATTACATGTCTAATTTAAAAGTAAGCATCACTCACATGTTTCCCCATTTAGGTATGCAAGCAAGTCTTTCCTATCAGGTCTTCTTACCACAGGAATGTTTTCAGTCTGAAAAGACAGCAGACTTGACATTAAACTGTTATTCCCTCAGAAAGTCTGAAAACTACTAATTCACACAAAGATAGGAACGCATGTCCTGCCTCCAAAGAAAGCATAACTATCAAGCTCAAAAATACAATTACTTCCTAGAGGATGTTCAACTACACAAAATTGAACATGTCATCTGCTATAAAACTGAAAGAGAGGACAGCCTTTTTCCTCCTTCACTTCAAACTTGCAAATAAGATTAAGAAATATGTTAACACACACACACAAACTTCTCAACACACGTATATATCAGCAGCCAACGTTGGTACGTGGAAATAGAGTATTTCAATTTTGTCGTTGCAAGCATGTACAACACATCACTTGCTCTATCAGATAACCATGTGGCACAGGGAAAATGAAGTGTGGGCTCACAGAAAGCAGTCAAATCGAAATCAAAAGTACTTTCTCTTTCAGAGTTCCCCTATCTTTATTTGTAGAGCTTATCCAATAATTTCTTTAATTAGATTGCATAATTCTGAGTCCAGTCCAAAGCTGTTCTGCTGTACTTTGCTCTGTTTTGTAGATCCTTGCACTCACAGGCACTAATCATCTAGGCTGGGATCACACAACAGGGCACAGATGAACAAAAGTACTTTTGAAATAGTGCTGGAAGCAACTGCAACTGTAGAATACCCAAAGAAATGCTGCCATTACTGGTAATATTTGGGTGACACACTCTTATGGTAAATGCAACCTGGTGGTTTGAAGGGATAATCTGTTAGGAACTGAATTGTCAAGAAAAATATTCCACCTCGATAGGGACTGTCATTTGATCCCTACGTAGAGGTGTTTTTTTTCTTAAAGACACACACCCCCCTGTTGCATGTCTTTTTCCCTTTCCCCAGCCAAATTCATACACTTAAATGTTACTATCATGTTCCCTGAAAATAACCATGTACCTGTTACTTATCACAAACAAGACAAAATTGTAAATGGTCTACTTACTGCAGCACGGCGGACATAAACAGGATGTGAAAGGTGCACATTATTGAGCAGGAACAAGATAGAATCCAAAGTGTAGTATTCCCTGGGCTGGCCCTCTT